TGTTTAACAAATGTTAGAGTAAGACTTAGAAGTCTTGGAATGTTAAAATGTTAAAATGTTAAATTAAGATGGTTTATCACATCGTTAACATAAAGGGCATAAAACATTACATTGGAAGAGTGTATGTAAATAGTTTAAATTTTATAAAATCTATATATATACTCTACAGTAGACCTAAATATTTAACCAGAAAAAAAAATTGGTTTATTTTCCTAATTTTAAAATATTTTGCTTATTTAGATTTTTTCTTAAGAGGTGTATTCTCAACCATCCCTCACATTTATTGATAATTGGTTTGTAGTTAGAAGATTGTCATTCATAACAAACAAAAAAAATACAAAACTTATAAAGATTCATTTCATTTCTATTTTTGGCTTTAATCCCACGCATACCACTAATACAGAGAGATGGACACATGTTTTCATGGAGTGGGCTAAACTTTATTTGCATGATATTGTATTATTGTTTATGTAAACTTTATTTTCGGATTTACTAAATCACATGGAAGTATAGAAAGATCAAGAATGACTCATTATACCTATCAATGAAGTGCATATTTTTTTTTTGTAAACCTTTTTTTTTTCTTTCTTTGAACTCGATCTTTTGCATTGTTTCAGGAGAATACATGTGACTTTACAATATAATGTGGTCAGTACAAGAAAACTGAAATATAATGTGGTCAGTACAAGACAAAACCGTAGAATCTATAGAACCGGACAACTCTTTAAACTAACTGGTCTAATCACAGGATATGTCGGTCTTGCTCTCCTTTACCTACACCAAAAACAAAATGGATCACTGTATCTTTGTTGTTCTTGGAATTTTTTCAGATCACACAAACAAAGATGATATTAATTGCAAAACAAACATCTTTTTACCTTCTCATCATTCTCGCACTTTTACTTCAATTGTAGTCTTGCTGGCCTTTCCACATAGAAAAAAAGCTTGGAAAAAAAACAGACCGCTCGATTTACATGTATACTGTCAAAGGCAACAACACCAAAAGGCTTATCAAGAGGGTCTTATGTTCTAAGCAAATGTCGAGTCAGAAAATGATGGTCATGAAAGACCAGCTCGCCATTCGATAATGCTAGCCGCATTATTGAATACTCATGGACATGAGTTGAACAAGTCCGCAAATAGTCTTTTCCTATATCAATCACAAAGATTTTTACCCATTTCCCGTCTTTTTTCCTGAACGACCAAATCGTGTACTCGCACCACTTGTTCACGGAGGCGCACAAGTGATTCTCCAAGGTGCACAATGCTACTTGATCTTTATGCTGGTTCTTAAACGAAGATTTTGACATTAATTCAAATGTTTCGTTGTGCAGATCAAAGGACATAACTTTCATGTCTTCGGTATCAATCTAATCACTCACCCAATAAACAAAACCTTCCACATAAAACGAATCGATATCAAGTATCCCGTAAGGGAAGCACGAGTCACATACCTCCAACTGTTGGAGGCCAAATCAAACAGCTCACACTGCGTAACATCTTCCAAACCAAAGTGC